GTTAGTATTCTGTGACCACTGCTGTGCCCCCGCAGTATGACAGGACACGGCTTTCTCTTGGGGTGGGTGACAACTGGCAATAATTCTGGTAAAGCTAGAGCAGTGACTTTACACTCTGATGTGACCTGGGGACCGGATGAGTGCTGCTTCAGAGCAGGTCGGGGCTAGAGCTGAGCCTGTGCTTGTGCTGCCACAGGGCCACTCGGGTGCTGAGGCGGCAGAAGGGACTCCTCCCAGGACTCCTGCCCAGCCCTGCGCACTGGCGCACCTCCATGGTGGCTGATGAGAGCTCTTCTTTTTCTTTTAAAGCTATGACACCGAAGGAAGAGGGCACATCACTTACCAGGAGTTTCTACAGAAGCTGGGTCTTCGCTATTCGCCCACCGTCCACCGGCCGTATGCAGAAGATTACTTCAACTTCCTGGGCCACTTCACGAAGCCCCAGCAGGTCCAGGAAGAGATCCAGGAGCTGCAGCAGAGCACCGAGAGGGCGGTGCCTGCCAGGTGGGTTTGCAAGTGCTGGGGCCGCGGCTGGATGCCGTCTGTCCTGCCTTTACCCTGGCTGCAGAAGTTGCTTCAAAATGGGGCCTTCTGGCTTGTGCTGGCCAAGTTATCATGGACTTGTCATGTGCTCACTGCCCAGATCCTAGAAACTGGTGCTGAATCAAAGAGTTAGAAAGCAGTTAAGAAGCGTCAAGCCCATGCCGCCCTCCCCAGGCACAACCCCGTGCCATTCTTGTATGATTTATGGGCCACCCTGGGAAACCACCCTTTTCAGCCATGTGCGCAGAGAGCCCCGCCCCTTCCTGGGCCCCGCTAGGATGCAAGCCCTTGGGGTGCCTGTCACTGTCCTCTAGCACCCGACAGGTAAGTGAATGGATGTGTAAATGAACCCTTTCTACTGTGAGGGCTTGATCCAAAGAGACAGCTGAGAAGGCTCAGCAGTCACCAGGGGTGGCTTGCAGGGTGTCTGTAGCTGCAGTGTGATGCCTGCGCCAGGTTGGAGTGAACAGACCTGCCTCCAGACCAGGGGAACGTGGAGTCTCTCCTCACCGACAGAGCTGGCCTCGTCACCCCGCGTCCTCTCTTGTGTCACTCTGTATGTAAGAGGCTCGGAGAGGAGGCTTCTCTGCTCTCGGGCCGTGCTCTCTCCCCTGTTCTGCCGAGCATGGCTGCAGGACCATGTGGTTGACTGCGCTCACGGGCCACCCCATGAGCAGGCCACTGACCACAAACACAACCAGCTTCTGCTCTCTCAGAAACACTGGCTGCTCCAACTCAGGAAGGAGCTTGCCCTCGGGGCCTGTTGGGACTGTGGTGGAACTTTCGGGTGAGCCTGAGAGTCGGGGTCCCCAGGATCTTTTTACCTCCTCATTCCTTCTGAAACTCAGGTGGGGCTGGTATGGGAGTCATGTTGGATGAAAGGGACTGAAGCTGTGCATTTGTCTCTTGGATCTAAGGAACATGTCTTGTTTGCAGTGTACTGAGCACCTTGTAACGAGGAGAAAATCCTGTCTAGCTTCTGTTCTTTTCCCGGGACTTGCTCTTTATTCAGCCTGAATCGGAGCAGCAGTGGTGAACTGGCCACGCGACACAGCTGCTCCAGAGCACAGCGGAGGGTAGGGGTGAACCCAGCAGAGCGGCGCGGGCTGGGGAGGTGGCGTGCGAGAGGAGCTGGTGGCCACACAGCTGGCCATGGCAGTGCCCTCTCCAGGCTCCCTGTCCAGACCAGGAACTGGCCGCAGACCCTGCACGGCTCTGCTGCTCCATGTGGGCCAACACCGCTTCTGTCTGGCAGTGTTCGTGATCTGGGTTCCAAACCCTCATTTACTCTGTGCACATATTTACTCTGAAAGGGAAATAATTACTGCCGAGAAGCCAGTCCAAGAAGTGCTGAATGCTTCAATTTTCTAAAAATATGTATCTCCAAAAAAATGTTTTGATTTTTTATCTACCTTCATTTGCTTTCATCTTGGAGGATTAAGTGGGATATGATGTTGCGGTGGCCAGCAGCCATTGGAAGCGTGGGACTCAGTTGGGTGGACCCTGTAGGGAGTCCAAAACATCCGCGCTGTTGCTGGACATCGGGGACGGTCACTGCAGCCCCTTTGTATCCAGTGCTCCCGTGTCCTGCAGGCTGAATCCACATAGAGGCCCTCAAGTGAAGGCCACAGGGCATTGGGC